AAAGAAAGCCAAGGGGGTCTTCAGCTTCCTGATGACCCCGCTGAGGAATTTCCTGGACATATGGGGCTGGGCACATTCCCCCAGCTGCCTAGATAAAGGTGACAATTGGGACCCATTATGTACACATGTGGCTCAGCAGGCGGTTTCCATTTCCGATCTGATAGTGCCGGCCGATATTTGTTCAGCTGATTGTCTAAAATCAGGCTGAGAGATTGCTGGCTGCAGAAACAGAAACTCAAAGTATGAACACTCATTAAATTCCTTTCTTTAACATCCAAGGCTTGATTGAAGAAGATCACCACCTTTTGTTCGAAGATTCCTTGCCCTTATTTTTCCCAGGACACTGCCTCATCACCAGAAACTAAAACAATTAAACTATTCAAGGACTCATTAGCATTTCTCAATATGGACATGGATTTTCTGAGGCTCACCTCCTCCCAGGCGAGCCGTCCCCTCCAACAGCAGATTGGCCTTCCTTGGGCCAATCCCCTGCCATCTCCTCCCCTCCACAAGGGAATTCCTGCCTGCAGGTGGCAATGTCACCAGAGTGCCAGCCAATCAGGAAAGGGAGCAGGAGGAGCAAGAAGTTTGAATAGCTGTCATGTATAAAACTTCATGTCTCTGTATTTCATGTTATGCTTGTACATTCTGGCATCAGCTACAATTGCATCCTTTCTGGCTAGACTGATTGTTTTCACCTGGTGAGTGTGTTCTCTGATCTGGAACTTTGGGCTTTAGTGTAAATGCTCACCGGGCATGGACCCTCTCTGTCTGTGGTCCTGGCTTAAGTTTGATCTCAGGTTGACATCACTTTAACTGTCCTGGCTCAATGCTATAAAATCATGGGCTCTCTTGTTTTACAAAGCTTTTAGCTTTCCCATCCAAAGAGTCTTAGTGGCTCACAAAACTCTCAGAATTCTAAAGCATTGAACCATTGCACTTAAAGTAATGTCAAAATGCATTCATTCTATAGTATAGGACCACTCTACTTTAAGAGACTTAGGTAATTCTGGGGCAGGGCAGTAGCTGTCCAAATATGGTTGAACTGCAATTCTCAGAATTCCTCACTATTTGCAATGTTGACAAATGTTGATGGAGCTGTCCTTCAACAACTTCCAGATTGCTTCACAATTCCCATCCTCACTCAAAGATGACAGTGCCAGGACAATGCACTGCCAAAAGTGAGCAGGCAACAACAATTTTATAAAGCTGTTAAAAATCAGCAATGGCCAAAGTAAAAGAAATCATGCATGAAAAGCCCTGGCATTACATATTACAAAATTGGTGCATTTTATAGTGGCATATAAATTCAATTTAAATTTTACTAACTTCATTTAAACTTTACTTATTTTTTTCTCAATACTTAGAAACCATAGGTGCATCTTCAAGAGACATGGGCAAACTTTGGCCCTCCCGGTGTTTTGGACTTCAGCTCCCACAATTCCTAACAACCTCAAGCTTAAGCGGCTAAGGGAGAAAAGGAAGGGGCTGCAGGGAGAGTAACATTGGCTGGGGATCTCTATTCCATTGAAAATTAAAACCAAAATAACTCTTGGAAGCTTTGTGTTGGAAGACTCAATAACAACAACAAAAGAACCCCAAGGAAAGAAGGTAAGCCATCCAAGTTGATGGGAATAAATCTGGCATGAAACTTCCCAGCGGTATTGATTTTGGCTCGCTAGGTCAGTACAGCTCTTCCAAACTGAATATAAGCACAACAGTAAGAGAAATGTTTTTCATTGTGAGCTGACTATGTTCCATAATTACACATCAATCTCACATCATCCATTATCTGAGCGTTTTCTGTGTATCACACATTTTCATTATTACCTTTAATGGCCATCAGCCGCTAAGAAAATGTTCAAACCTGCTGCTACTGCTACTGCTGTTTTAATGCACTGCCGATGTTTGTAATCTATCAGGCTTTTTAATTTTGACAAAGTGACAAAAATTATGTATGGTGTGGATAATGCAGAAAGAGGGACATCATCACATATCCATCTGGTTCAGTGTGAAATAGGTTTACAAATGCTCATTCATGGGACTTCCTCAAACATTTTTCTCAAACATTCTGGGCTATATGGACCTTCTCAAGTCAATAGTATCTTTATAATAGTTATTGTTGTGTGCCTTCATGTTGTTTCAGATTCATGGTGACCCTCATTTTGGGTTTTTACGAGGCTGTGGTTGTGTGACTCACCCAGGGTTATCCAACGTTTTTCATGGCTGAGTGAGGGTTTCAACCTTGGTTTTCAGAGTCAGGCACTACTCAAAGTACTACACCAAGGTATCGCTCCTCTTTCCAATGGGTGCACTCCAGATACATGGGAAGTAACACTGGGATATGGTGCTGGGAAATGCGGAGGTGGACTGGAAGATCTAGCCTGCAGTTTTAAATCTATTTTACTTGTAAAATCATCCAACTCTAAAGGTTTTTTTTAATGCTCCTAAATGTTCCTAATAGATCAGGGGTTCTGTCTGTCATATCATATCTGTGATCAATCATTCTTTAAAAAAAACCTGGACAACAATCCCCCCACAACTGCACATTGTCAGTGAATATTTAGGTTTACAGACATTCTTTTATTATTATTATCACAACTAGCATTTAGAGTAAATAAGATACAAGGATTACCACTTCACCAGGAAGGTAATAAAGGCATCCATGCAGCCATGCCAGCAACACAACCAGGAGGTGTATATAGACAACAGGCTCCTTGGCTTGGAAATGGAACAAGAGCACCTCCCCATGGCCAGAGTTGAACATCGCCTCCAGAAAGCCAGAGATGAAAGGAGAAGCTTTTGCCTTCATTCTGAGTATTTGTATGTCATTGTTATTCCACTATATTAATACACCGACTGTTTGCCTGTCTGTGTATGTTGTAATCCACTCTGAGTCCCCTTGAAGTGTTATTATATTATTTTATTTTATTTTGGAAAAACCAGTAAAAACTAATAGTTTGCTTATTGAACATTATACTAATTGTAATACTACTTCCCTAAATCCAATTAGAGGGGCCAATGTGGTGTAGTGATTTATATGTTGTACTAGGATACTAGGAGGACAGTATTTCAATGCCTGTTTTGCCATAGAAACACACTGGGTTAACTTGTCCAAGTCATATTTTCCAATTTGCAGAGGAAGGCTATGTCATAATGGACAAAATCTAAAACACTTCTGGTTCCAAGCAATTTGGAAAAGGGATACCTAACATGTACACTAAAATGTTCATTGGGAGGGTTTGAAAATAGGCCTGATGTCATCCAATAAACGTGTGTGTGTGTGTATCCCACTCAATGAAGTTCTAGAGGTTTTTCCAATACTTTCTTGTTTGCTTTGGGAGTTTTTTAAAATACTGGCATGTATGTGTAATGTTCTGGTACATTTTAAACTACACTTCTGTTCAGACTTCTGTGTGTTTGCTCAAAGAACCTTTCCTTATTATCACATATTTCACTGCAGTAAAGATAGTTAATCTCACCATCACTTCAGCTTTGAGTTTATATTAGCTTTAGCAAAAAATAAATATTAAAGAATATCTCATTCATTTTAGGTTGTATGATATGGTGAGTTCGAATTTGTGCAAAACTGATTTATGATTTCATGAATTTATTGTGCTGAAATTTATTTGGTGTTTAAATATTAAAAGCAGTAGGGGGAAGGCCGTTGTCCTGAAAATGGATTAGGAAATATCCCCAATGATTAAATAAAACGAGTGCTTTGCTTTCCTACAAAAGCCTGACATTTTGTTTGCAGAAGCTGACCCTACAAATGAAGCAATATTTGAATTCCCTTAAAAAGACCAGAGTCTACCCCACTATCTAATCATTTTATTTATCATTATGATAATCTTCCTATTCCTTTTGATTTTCCAAACTGTTTGATCAGTGCCATGGACCTTTGTCCCAAAAACAAACTGCCAGAATCGCTAATCTAATCTGTATAACACCATCACCAATACAGATAAATAATAAGAATATTATAAAATAGAATCAACAAGCACCAAGTTGAGGACTGAACTTTATCTTGCAAGGCCCCTTGGGATCAATTCTCCTCCATCAGGTATGTAAAAGTGGAAATATTATTTCATTAGTGTTAACTGGTTTCAAAATTATTTTGTTTCAATCATTGACATTGTTTAAATGGTTTTAGATGGGTTTTAAACCAATTGTACTGATTCTACTGAGATCTGATAGCATTGGGCAAGTCAGAAATATTTGAATAAGTAAACTACTAAACATTTTGTAGCTATTTCTGTGAGCTAATGGCATTCACTGGGACTGGCTGTATTCCATGATTCCACACAAATTGGTATTGGGGGCATAATTCAACATCTTGACAATCTCAGCTTTATTTTAATATCCAAGGTAAAGTACTAGCCTTTGTGACTTCAGGCTTAGGTTTGAGTGTGTGTGTGTGTGCGTGTGTGTGTTAAGAGATCTGTTATAGTTTGGAACAGGCAACATGTTACAGTTACTATGGCATACTATAGTTATAAGACTGGCAGAGGAAAGAAAACAATTATGTTTTAAGCTCAAATTTCTTAGAAATCTGTTTTAAAGGGGGCTTAGGTTACATCTCCACTAGAGAATTATTGCATTGTGACACTATTGTAAGTTTGATGCTATCAAATCATGGGGGTTGTTGTGGTTTGTAATGTCTTTAACCTTACTTGCCAAAGGGTGTTGATGCCTCACCAAACAACAACTTCCAAAATCCTATAGCACCGAGGCATGGCAGTTAAAGTGGTGTCAATGTTGTAGATCAGCCAAAGGCTGATAAGTTAAGTGACTATTGAGAGAGGATTGTGGCCTTTCCTGTGGCACAAAGTGATGAGCCCTCAAGTCTGGGAAATTCAGGTGTGGGAAATGATGGTTCTCTCTGTGAAAAAAAAAACTGGCTCAGAAAGTGTAGGGCCTCAGAGTTAATCAGAGGAGCCAGAAGTAGCAACAGCAGATAAGGAAATTGAGTGAAGAGCTGAGTGATAAGGAGGGTTCCCAAGAGAAGCTACCTGTACCTACGGAGATCAACACAAATCTTTGTTTACAAATTAGAGCTGAAAAGAGATTACATCGGTCAAAAAGATAATGTGGGAAAGTTGGGGAGAAAATTCATGGGAGATGTAATGCTTTCATGGGTGTCTATTACACAACATGTTGTTTGCCTTAAGAGCAGTTCAGGCAATCCCTCGTTGGAGTGAGAAGCTAAACCTGAGTTCTCTTGTTCCTGGTTCAAGTCAAGCCTTGGTTTTGGATTTTAAAATCCTGGAAGTTTTCTATATTCTTGTTCATATATTCCTGTTAAAGTTTTTATTAGTTATTTCTTCTTACTTGTGGACTGATGCTGTACCTGTGATTTCTGCAGAAGGAAACACGTGTGATGGGAAGACAGAACATGAATTGGAATGATTGGGGATCAAAAGGTACAATTGCCTTCACTAGACTGATGGCCCTCCATGTTTCTCACAATCAGAGGTCATCAGAAAGACATGTAGTTCTGAGGTTTGTCTACATGTACAAAAAAAATGTACTTTTCTCATAGTTACCCTAACCTACAATGTGCAGACTCTTTATCAGTGAAAGCACTTCTTTTAGGCTTTAATGCAATATAGCAAAAATTAATTCTTCTTTCACAAATTCCAGGCAAATCTGGTTTGTTGCTGTGCTTTGCTAGCCATGCCCAATTTAGTTCAAGATGTCTTCAGGGCAAGTAGACAGAGCAAGTGAGTTAGTGACAAGCAGCAGTATTATTTCACACGTCCAGTACTACTTGCTGGTGTATATACTTTCTGGCATTAAAGATCCTGTTATTTTTGCTCTGGGAAGCAGGAGCTAAGTGAGACAATGGCAAATCACCTCCTCTGAGCAGAACTAGCAGAACCAAGCAGAAAGCAAAAGTCAGGGACCTCCCTCCACTCCCAATCCATCCCTGTGATTGCCTTCCTTTCTCCTTCTCTTCTAACATGATTTGTCTGCTCCTGCTTTCCTGGCTAAAGAGCATTTTGCACAGCTCAGCTGTTGGAGTCACTTGCTCAGAATGGGTGCCAGGTTGACAGGGGTGGCTCAACCCATTACGCAAAGTAAGCATTTGCAGTATAGTTGATTTTGCCCAGGGGCGCTCTTGAGGCACTCTTGGGGGAAAATAGACCTTGACATATGCGAGTTGTAGTTACTGGGATGCTGGGATGTATAGTTCACCTAAAATCAAAGAGCATTCTGAACTCTACCAATGATGAAATTGAACCAAATATGGCACACAGAACTCCCATGACAAACAGAAAATATATATCAATGATTGATTGGGGGAGGGGGGCGGCGCCAAAATACTGTTTGCTTACCGTTGAAAATTACCTAGGGCTGCCTCTGCAGACTGACCTCTTCACCATTGATCCTGTGACTGGGGGGCTCATTCTGACATCCAAGCAAGCGGCTTTCACAGTAGAAGCCAGAAATGTAGCATCAGCTGCTAAATCACTTTGGAGAAGAATAAAAACTGTACTAATTTGAATTTCAGATATAAACAGCAATACAATTTGATTGTGGTATATTACAAGCAGGTGTGGGGCTAATGGGTTGATTCTGAGGCAGCTCTGAGGCTGAATAGACTGAATTGTGCTCCATAATTTTCAAGCATTGAATGGTAGACTCCTTGCTCCATGCAAGCAAATAACAGCTATGGAGTCAAGAACAGAAGACAACAGGAAAAGTCCCCCAACACCTACTCTCATACCCCTATTGCAGGCTCCTAGTATGGCTAGGACCCCTGTGTCTGCAATTCGCTTTTTAAGAAAGTTTCTAGTTGCAGCAATGCTTTTTCATTTAGTTTAGACTTGAATGTTTCCTGGTTCTACTTAATTCCAAACTCTTATTAAAGTTTGATGACCTCCTGCAGTAAAACTGTTTCTTGCTGTGACAGTGTTATTGTATTTTTATTTGAGTTTTTCACATTTTATTGCTGTCATAAGATGCTTTAGATGTTCAGGAAAGATGAGATATCATATTTTCCAAAACAAAGAAAACAAAAATAAGCATTTAAATTTCAATTGTTTTGTTATAATATAATTCTGGGTTCCTACATCACAGATGCAGGAACTATATATTGTTTCCTGAATGGATTCCTCAAAACTGCCTTAATAGCTAGCAGCTGAAACAAGTAGCAAAGCTTTGTTCTGCTGATCATCAGGAGATTGCAGGATGACATTTTCTATCAGCAAATTCTAGTGTAAAAAGAAATTGTGACAAAGATCCTGCTTCTGATTGTCCCACAGAGTTTTCTGGATGAGGGGTTGGAAACGTCACCCTACTGCACCCTGTTTGCCATCAAAACAGACCTTCATTATTCAGTGCAACTTTTGGCTGTTAAGAAAGCTTTGGAGGACATTTGCAACTACAGGCAGTCACCAAGTTACAAACATCCGACTTACAAATGACAGGGTGAGACAACAGCAAGTGAGAGAAATCTACCCCTAGGAAGGGTAATTCACTCCTGGAGGAAATATCATGGCGAAAAGGTGTCTCACCTGAAGCTTTCTCACCAATGCTGGTTTCCACAACAAACCTCATTTTCCAAAATCCAATCATCAAAGGGACAGAAAGTAATGTGAAATCTTCTGAACAGGGGCACAGACAGCAAACCAAACACCACAAGGGTATTAACCCTTCCCTATGCTACCCAGAGCTAAAACATAGAGAGGGAGAGAGAAAGAGGGAGGGAGGGAGAGGGAGAGAGAAAGGCTGGAGTTACTCTTAAAAATGTACCTGTTCTAACTTACATAGAAATTCAACTTAAGAACAAACCTACAGAACCCATCTTCTTCGTAACTTGGGAACTGCATGTTAGGAATTAAGTCATGGTGCTAAATATGTACACAAACCAATTACTAATATGTAAATCTAGTTTATCCATTTGTCACTTGTTCATTGTCCAGGGCTATCTTTTGTTTAATTTCTATTTGGTATTAAATTTATAGCAATGGCTGTTCTGCTTTCTGTAATGTGACCTGTTTTGATGTAATCCATCATATTACTCTTTGCTGGCATTAAATGTTTGCCATATGTGTTGGAAACTGCCCTGAGTCCCTGCAAGGAGATAGGGAGGTCTACAAATAAAGTGTTGTTGTTGTTGTTGTTGTTGTTGTTGATCACAATGTCGGCTATTAGTTGTAAAATGTGTCTCTTAGCACTAATCCTGTTCACCTATCATATGGGTTACATAGGGCTTTTTGAATCTAGAAAGAAATAGAGGGATCTACGTATATTGAGCCAAAACAAAAGTAAATAAGGCACATGTGTGCAACTGTAGCTATAGAAACATTTGCTTCTTTTTCAGTGACAAGAAACTAAAGTTGTCTACTGAGAGATTTACTTTATTTTAATTTTAAAAAAATCACCTTCCACGCTTTCCACGATGGCGCTGATTCTGTTTGTTTGTTTTGTTTTCTGCTTTGTTTTTAATCCCTGGATAGAAAAAAGCACTGGCCATGGACAGCTACCCCCACCCCCTAAGACAGCATGGGCATATACCCTCAACTCTTCAGAATCATAGAATCATAGAGTTGGAAGAGACCTCATGGGCCATCCAGTCCAACCCCCTGCCAAGAAGCAGGAATATTGCATTCAAAGCACCCCTGACTTATCAACAAAATCTATAATTTCTGTTCCTAAACTTGCCCTCAGTTTATACATGAGGTCAACTTATACATTAATATACATGGGACTTGCTAATTTTTTTAGTATCTTTCTGAGCCATCCTAATTTCTCTACAAATTAATAAATGATTCCCATGATAAAAGAGGCGACAAAGCAACACAAGAACAGTGTTGCAAGAACTCTGATATTTGTAATGAAAGTGAAGAAGGAAGAGTCTTCAACTGAAATTAACTGAGAGAACAATATCGATTCTGCAATAAGATAAATTGTTTACTTTCAAAGAACATATCAAGCTGTTCTCTTGTGTATCAGAGACTGATAGCATCTAAAAATTAACCACACAGATATACATATTCTGCTCCACTAAGATAATGAAAAAAGGAATAAGTAATCTAGAACTTTACCACATTAAAT